CTGGTCACCAGAATTGGCTGTAGAGTCTGTTCGATGTTATGTTTCTATATTTTCCTAACAACGACGCATAGTTAGTGATGTTACCGTGCCAAATCGCCTTTTTGAAAAGCTGGTTCGAAAAAGCCTGGTTCGTTCAACTTGCGTCTAGCTTTTCGTTGCGTTATGTCAACCTGAGGGCGCTTTATTTCACCACGTCGTCTCAGCCCTTAATCCACTAGTCGTGGTTAGTCTCCATAACCTTCTAGACGTAAACCAACAACAGAAGACTTACGCAGGGATTAAAACTGCCGGCTTGAAAGGAACTGAGATTTCAGGCCGCCTACGCGTCACAAGGTTACTTAGCGAAACCCAGCTGAGTTGGTTTAAACCTTCTTAGCTCCTGCGTAATATACAGAGCCTAGCCAAACCAGTCACTGTGGTTAATTCGTTTCCTAGAGTGTTGGCTTGGCCGCCTCTGACGCGAGATGCGTTGCGGCCTGTACGTCAATATAGACATATCTCTGCCACAGTTAACCGACACGGCTGATCGTATCTAGATAACTTAGGGTCGAATGTCTCTCATCCAGTCAATGCCGCATGTTAACGCCGCACAGTTAGCATCAGCCGTAGTTACGTCGAGCAAAGGACTAAACGAAAGACTAGCACTAGGGAATGCAAAAGCCACGCTAGAATCCGCTTCCGTTCAACACGTTTCAAGTCCTCCTCGTGATCCCCGTCTAAGACACCTGCATGTTGCTGACACCACAGTCGATTTGGCAGGAATGCCAAATCGTGTCATTCACCCTGCTTCTTCTCGCGCAAGTCACAAAGAAACAGGCTGAACAGCAGGTAGGGGTGACGAACGTTGTTGGTCGCTACTGTCGACAGTCCTAACTCAAAGACCGTGAACCAGAAGTTTGCTACTTAGTGGAAACTGGCGCCAAAAATAGCGCTCTTTCCCACGATAAGGTGGACCTGAATGAGCAGGCGATACCTTCACTGCGGGCAGCTAATAAAACGACCATTCCCGCGTAAAGTCAAAGCACGAGCACCCTTAATTTAAGCCTAGGAATTCCTTTTAATTAACATTTTCTCATCCTACCTTCAGACGCAAACCCGTGGCTTGGGTTGTTCGCAGCAGTGTGACTTGGCTGTAAATGCGTAGTAATGCCATCCAACCGATCATGCTAGGAACGGTCATTTATAGGCACTGGTCGACCGTGAGTTAAGCAATGCTGCTTAAGTCAACCAACTGAGCTCACCAAGCGGTCAAATGCTTAATAGTACGTTCCAGCACGTGTTCCGTGCAATAGTACCTTTGTCACCAGCAAGCAATGCTCCAAACCATCAGTCCCACCGAATGTCTGCTTGCATTCGCTTAACCCAGGCGAAAGATCCTTGACAAGCTGAAGATCGCCCACCCAGAACTAAAGTATATGTTTGAAGCAGGCATTATTTGCCCGTCTAAAATCCCGTAGGCGTCGCCGCTTCATATAGTACCCAAACCGCCAAGAGACCGGCGTCCTTGGGTTGTACGCCGCGCTTTATAAGTTAACTACCTCCGACCGCCATTCTATTCCTGACATTCCGAACAAAGCCGATAGCCAGCGTAGCACCCTGTGATCCCGATAAGCAAGCTGGTTCGCGCTTGTCACCAGCTCACGGATGCTATGGAAGCGGTACCGCAGACATTCGTAAGCAAGCCGCCTGGGACCTTCAAAGTGTTGTTTGCGCCTTTCGGTCACTGCAACGCAGCCTAGGCCTTTCAGCGATTCGTTAATACTGTCACTAGAAGTTTCGAGTTTGTTTACCCTTATATCGACAATAGTTAGTAGCTTGGGCTTCAGAAGAACAACAAACGGAACACTTAAAGATCTTTTCAATATGCGTGATGCTAATAACACCCCTGACAACGTAGCCAAAAGCGTATTTTCACGGTTATCCGTCGAATTCCTTTGACACCTTGTCCATCAGCGTGAGATCCCGTTTCTAAAAGTTAAAGTCCGCGCCATCAGAGACTTCCGATGGCGAGTACGTGTGCCGCTATATGCCGTTCTCACTGTTTAAGTAAGCACTACCAAGGTCATTTTCCACACGGCGCAGACCTGTTAAGTCCACTTACGGAGGGCTACGTGGACGTCAAAACAGCAACGTAGAACTGGCCACTACTGCCGCCGCAACCTACCACGCAAGTAAAATGGCCTTGGCCAACGCACTCATGCTTCATCACTTTGATCCAAACATCTGGCTCAGCGTAGCCGTTGAAGCATGTGGCGCTGCCATTGGAGCCGTCCTAGAGCAACATACAGATGGTTGCCGGAAACCGCTTGCTGTTTACTTCAGACGACAAGAAACTGCCGAAGTCATGTACAGCTGGTTTAGTCGCGTACGGTTAGCGCTTTACTCTACCGTTTGACACTGCCTTCACTACCCTGAAGAACACACCTATATTATCTTCACTGATAATAAGCCGGATATTTGGCCTTTTAATAGCATTTTGAGTGACACGCACTACGTAAGGACAGTCAGATGCTTCTTCGACCCAATTTTCAGCTGGCCTACGACACTCCTCTGGTCAGAATAACGTCGTCGTTGACGTACTTTCATGAGTAACTGCATTAAAAATCAGCGGGAAGATAAATGGCCTATCTGCTATGGCCGCGGCACAACGATCCGACACCGGCTTCCAAACCCGCCTTACCAGCTGTTACTAAAAACACATCGTGTCCGCTGCCGTCATGCGCTATCACTAATCTGTATGACACATCTAATGTAAGTCCTCGTCTAAGCTTTTCTGACACCTTTGTCGCAAGGATTTCGACACTGTGGACAACATCGCTCATCCAGGTATCTAGACAAACCTTAAGCTCATTTCCGTGCAGTAGATCTGACCTGTTCGCAACGAGGCAAAAGAATCTAGGCAGGCCTTTGCTTAACTGTCAGGAAGCTGATTCTGTGACATGTCCGCTCCACTAGACCGCCATCTTTCTAACTGTTTTGCAAATGTCAATCTTGGCACAGTTGCCCATTTTGCACTGTCTAAGAATATGGTTTAAGTCTTGAGCATGATAGATCGCAGCGCACGTTGGCCTGAAGACCTTTCGATTCTAGAAGTCGCAACCGGAACCGACACGCAAGCTTTCACCGACTGCTGGGTCGCTGTTCACAAATAAAGTGACACAGTTTGAACCTAGCACGTTGGTAGGGGCGCTCAACATTCTGCCGCATTTTCCATGCTACCTACACTTCTGCTTTGTATGGTTTGGTTCAGCCTTTTCATAGGCAGCTCAAAAGGTCCTTTAGTGTAGTTGGTGCGCTTAACTGGATTGAAACCCGAACGGGGGTACCGCATGGCCTTTGCTTAGCGATCAGAACCAACCGCACGTTAACTGTCAAATTTATATGGACAAATATTACGACTTCCTGGAGATTTCTTATCGCTAAGATGCTTCTCAGGTCCAACAATGGCATCTAACCAAAGCTCAGCTCGACAATTATTACCTAAAGAAGCCAAGTGTAATGTTTTCTTTCCCGTGGACATAAACCGCTGCTCGCGAGTTTTGTTCACGTCCGCGGCCTTCGCAGACCGTTAGACCGCTAGTACTAGGGACCACTAAAACCCATTCAATGCAAAGGCCGTGTATTTATTTTTAAGCGCAAATACAAGCGCCAAGCATTTACAGGCAAACGGTTCAAAGTAGCTCATTTGGCATCCACCGACAAACTGGCTGACGAGCATACCTTTAGTTCCGCCGCATCCAGCGAAACCGGACGCGCTCTAGCTGCCGCTCAACAGACCGCGCAAAACGACACGGTTACGTAGACCACATCCACAGTCTAACCGCAAAAGTCGTCTAGGCCCGGTAGGCTATTTCGCTGGCCAGTGCGTCTAAAAGCTTAACGTTCTTTCCCCTAATTCTATAATTTGGCAAGGCTGAAACCTAAACTAAACTGCAAAAGGTTTTGAAAACCCAAATAACAAAACATTTTTAAAACACGGACCTTCCGCCTTTTGCTTCGTCAACACACTTGGTAAGTGTTGACGATTTCCGTTTGCTCTGGCCAGTTCCGCTTGCTTTAGATCACACTTTTACTTCTTTTTCAACTCCCAAATCTTAAACGCTTGGGCGCTGCAGGACCTCATGTTGCCAAGCGCTGTGCGATGGAACACTACATGCTTTCTCTTTTTTGGCACCCATAGAATTGACCCTGGTGTAAGCCTGCTAAGGTCCGCTTGCGCTAATGTTTCCCTAACTGCTCCATCAGGTTCCATATGGCCCAAATAAGATTGGCTGTGGACATACAGTCCCCAAGCAGATGGAAGCGTCACCCACTATT